CAGCCCCAGTCTCACTGACACAGTCTCACCAGTCCCGCTCTCACCGTTACTGGCTCACTGGCCACAGTCTCGCCATCACTGCCCCACCAGCCCCACTCTCACCGTCACTAACTCACCAGCCCCGCTCTCACCGTCACTGCCTCACCGGCCCCGCTCTCACCGGCCCACTCTCACCGTCACTAACTCACCAGCCCCGCTCTCACCGTCACTAACTCACTAGCCCCGCTCTCACCGTCACTGCCTCACCGGCCCACTCTCACCGGCCCCGCTCTCACCGTCACTGCCTCAGCGGCCCCGCTCTCACTGTCACTGCCTCACCGGCCCCGCTCTCACTGTCACTGCCTCACCGGCCCACTCTCACCGGCCCCGCTCTCACCGTCACTGCCTCACCGGCCCCGCTCTCGCCGTCACTGCCTCACCGGCCCTGCTCTCGCCGTCACTACCTCACCGGCTCGCTCTCACTGTCTCTGTCTCACTGGCCTATTCTCACCGTCACTGCCTCACTGGCCCACTCCTGATCCCGCCACCGTTGTTCTGATCCACACTCAATCCGCCATCGCTGCAGGACACAGCCCGTTCATCCAGCTTCTGCCACATGGTTCCCACTCACGACCCAGCTCCTTCCTGACTCCTTCGGTAGGTAGTTAAAGAAGGTGGGAGAATGGAATTACTACAGAGAGAGAGGAGAAGGGAGATAAAAAAGGAAGGGCAAAGAAAGAAAGAGAACTCCGAATGGAGCGATTTACCCTGCTGAATTGTCATTATCTGCAAGGAGAGAGGTGACTGATTAGTACATGATCACAGGATAGGAGCCACTTATTAAATGTTTGCCAAATAAACTGTAAAAATAGATATGGTTTTAATTGCAATGCTCACGTATTGTTGACACTTCCTCAGAGAGTGATAGATATGGGTCATTGAATATGGTGGTAGATAGATTCTTGGCTAACTCAGGAGTCAAAGCTTACCAGAGGTAGGCAGGAATGTGGCATTGAGGTCACAATCAGATTAACCTCGATCTTAATGAATGATGGAGCAGGCTAGAGGGGCCAAATGGCCTACCTCTGCTCCTAATTCATATAACCATACATATGGCCATTGGGACAATTAAAGCTCACAGGTAAAAAATATGAGGAAGCCGGTTGTGATAGTCTAAGCTTTGGCTCATAATTTGTTTTTGACATTGGTTTTATCATTCTTGAAGATTACAATTTAGCATCTTGCTTCATTTTCAATATCATGTCTTTGATCTGTAACCATTGTTCAGGGCCTTCCTTTCAAGATGTCAACACTATTTAAGTTTAGATCTACACAGCCACTGTTGTCATGTTCTTTCTTGGCAGCCATGAGAACTGCGCAAGTGGGTTTATCAAATATTCACTATTTGTGAAGTCTCATTGTGATTTCTGTTGGCTGTGTGCATTCGTTAAGATAACCTGTCATTTCTGAGACTGAGTTCTGTTATTAAACTCCTTCACTGAAAAAGACTCTTCAAAACTGTTTTATTCTTGATTATCAATTAAGATCATCATTCATTCCCTAGCTTGACACAAGCCAGGTACCCAACAGAAATTGTTTGTCTTTGGTAGCAGTTTGAAATGCCAATATTTTACGAGAGATAAATGTCAGTTCACCTGGAAATCTACAAATCATTTCTATGAATCAGTGCAAAGATTTTTATTTTCCTTCATGTACTTTTAGAACCAGGTGAAAAACATTTGATTGCATGGTGAACAATAAGAATAGAGGAACTTTGCTGTAGAACAGACTTAAATTACAAATTACTCATAGCCTAAGACCTAAAGGGACAGCAGTAAAGTTTTATATTTCTATTCCAAATTAAACTTAGGCTTTTTTGCCCAGATAGTGATGCAAAATCAGCCACTGGCTGTGACCTAATCATCCCAATTTTACTGAATTATTTATAACCATAAGTTCTGAAAAACTGCTATGAGCATTTTGCCTTGTACGGAATTAGAATGGAGGAAAGGTCAGTGAAGCACCATTTAACGAGATGGTGCTCTGGAAGTTACCTAACCCATGAAGAATGTAATGTAGATCCCTGTGAAATTCTATGCTACAATGTGTTACATACACTAACATCCATCTGATGAACTGGGTAGCAAATGCCTTTCAAAGATTTGCAAAGGTTTTATTCTAAATCTATAGCATAGTACAAACATCAGTTTCCAGCTATCCCTTCTGGACCCTTTCACTGTCCCTGTCCAAAAACACAGCTCTAGTTTAAAAATACACCCACCACCACATTAACAGCCAATTAACAAGCTCGGGAACAAAACTCAGCCTTTTTTTAAGCTTTGAAAACCCACCACCAATCACGCAAATAACCAGTTAAACAAATAACAAATTATAAGCACTGCCCAACCAGGGGCAATCTAACAATAACAAAAGTCAAACAAAGTAGGGAAAGAGGAAGGGGCTAAATAAAAATGGATTTGGTGGAGAAATAATGCACCCCAGCCCCTATGGTGTCCACGTCCCTCTGAAAGCTTACGGATCTCAGTTTTGTTTTGAAAGACCCATCACCAAGTTATCAAATTATTTAATTAATCAAATAGCAATGAACAAACACTGCCTACCAGCAGAAGTGTCACAACAACAAAAAAGTGGGGAAAACAAGGGAGAAACAGAACTCAGCCCTTATATATTTTAGTTAACCTATTCAGACATGTAATGCACACCTCTGAAACAGGTGGGACTAGAACATAGATCTCTTGGTTCAGAGACATGGATCCTACCGTTGTGTCACAAGAGACCCGACTGGAACTTAGGCCTGTTGGAAGTCAAATGAGCATTATTTGTTCTCACTCAACTCTGGAACCTTATTTGTTTGAGCCTTAAAGGGATATGTATTTCCAACTCTGACAAAAATGATTTCTGTGAAGAAGTAAAACGAAACCATATTTTTACAAAATAGATGTTAAAAATATACATAATTTCATGCTCCAACTGCTTTATAGCAAGACATCCTTCTAGAACGTTCAACAATTTTGTTTGCAGAGGCAATTCTCAGTGAAGCAATCTAATTGTTGATGACTAGTATCTAATCATATAAGCATAGAGATGTTTTCATCTCCAGTATATGCTTTAAACTGGCCAAAACTATTCACTAAATGGGTATTGTCTTCTCTGTTGCTTTTACACACAACGTTTGCTCCAAGATCTGAGTCAAATGGACCACCATATCAACAGCGTCACCAGGAGCCAGAGTTTCAGCAGCTAATGAGCTGTTCCCCATTATTTGCTTTACCCCTACACTGCCCATGCCAAGGGGCCGCTTTTCCCATTATTCTCCCAAAAAAAATATCATAAAACCTTCTGTATTGGAAACCAATGCCAAGATTTGCATGTGAAGTATCACTAAAAGTGATTAATGCCTTTTTTTCATTCATGTGGGCAGTAGTGGCTGGGACAAAATTCATTACCCATTCTTAGTTCCACTTGAGAAGGTTGCTTTTTAAAGTTCTGCAGTGGACATGCTGTAAATTGACCCACAATGCTGTTACGGATGGAATTCCAGAATTTTGACCCAGAGGCAGTACAAGCATGGCAATGTGTTTCCAAGTCAGTATGGTGAGTGTCTTGAAGGGGGCTTGCAGCTCTGGTGTTCCCATGTTTCTGCTGTACTTGCCCTTCTAGATGGATGTGGTCATTGGTTTGAAGGAGGCTGTCTGAGGATCTTTGATGAATATTTGCAGTGCATCTTGTAGACAGTTCACACTACTGCTACTGAGCATTGGTGATGGAAGGAGTAGATGTAGTGCCAATCAGGCAGACTTTGTCCTGGATGGTATCAAGCTTCTTGAGTGTTGTTTGGGCTGTACTCATCCAGGCAAGTGGGGAGTATTCCATCACACTCCTGACTCGTGCCTTGTAGATGGTGGACAGGCTTTAGGGAATGAGGAGTGAGTTACTTGCTGTAGCATTGCTAGCCTCTTGCCTGTTTTTGTAGCCATCACATTTAAACAGCACCACCCAAAGCTGAGAACTGTGGCACACACTTAACTATTTTAGATTTTTAATGATTTTATTCACTCTCAAGATGCCGTCCATCTTTGGATCTTTCACAGCCAGACAACGTTACAGCACATCAGAGCTTACATCTGGTCTTGTTAGTGTGCATAACGAGTTGAGCTGTCTGATGAGACTCCTCAGTTGTTCTATCTCCTCCTTGATAGCAGCTTCATCTTTCTCTCCAGATCTGGAATGACTCATTGCAATAGGATGGACATTTTCCAAATGCGACTCATGGTGTACAATTACATTTGACTCATCCTGATTAATTTCCAATCCTAGATATGTGAAAACACCAGATGTTTGACTGATCTTTTTGAATTCCTTCTTGATTCAATTGTTAAACTTTACTTCAAAGTCTTTGGTGTCCCAAACAAAAGTATCAACGTGCATCACAAAGATGCCCAAATTTTTTCGACTATAATGCCAACTGAACATTGTCAAATCTACCTTCAGTTTTGAATATTCTAACTTTAAAAAAAATGTGCTTTCTAAAAATGCCACACCTGAGTAACATCATTTAAGCTATAAACACGTATTCCATTTTGAGAGCACCCCCTGTTTTCCTGGTGCTTTGTTTGAAGGCTGGGAAAAAAATCCTCTTCAGCTGGTTACCACTTTGATATCTATAGAGTAACAGTTCCAAAGGAAGTTAAATGGTTAATGGTTGTTAAGTGGCTAAAAACATTTTCAAAATTACCTTCCAGCCATAGAAGAGTCTGCCCTAATCTCTCTTTGACTCCAAATATTCCTCAAAGCCCCTACCAACCTAGTCTTGACCCTGTTAAGACCTTTCCAATACTGTCCTGTATGACAAAGCAGTTTGACGTCTATTATCAACTTCTGAATATACTCTGAGTTCATTTCAGTCAGTAACTCTCTTAGTTTATTCCCTTTTATCTCCCCATATTCTATTCCACTAACATTCACAAAAATTTCTTTGTCATAGCAACTTCTACCTTTATCTATTTTACAAGAAGGCTCTCCATTACCCATATTACCTTCTTTGTCTTTTCTTGGTACAGCCTCTTTTCTTATGCTGAGGTCTCTCTGGATTTCTGACATCCAGATGTCTGCTAGAAACCCTCTCTCCTGCATGCAAATTTTTTCTCCAAAATGTATTCCCTGAATCACTGCTAAACTGTGGTTTCTTGTTCTCCACTCTTGTACTTCATGCTGTTATAGAGTCATAAAGTTATACAGCACGGAAACAGATCATTTGGTGCAACTCAAGCATACTGACCAAGTTTCCCAAACTAAACTAATCCCATTTGCCTGTGTATGGCCCACTTTGCTCTAAACATTTCTTATTTATGTACCTACCCAAATGTCATTCAATTGTTGTAACTGTACTTGAAACTACAACTTCCTCTGGCAGTTCATTCACATATGAATCACCCTCTATATGAAAAATTTGCTCCTTAGGTTCCTTTTAAATCTTTCTCTTCTCACCTTAAAAATATGACCCTAATTTTGAACTCCCCCTTCCCACTCTAGTGAAAAGACTTTCACTAATCACCTTATCTATGCCCCTCATGTTTTATAAACTTCTATAAAGTCACCACTCAACCCCCTACACACCAGTGGAAAAAGTCCCAGCCTATCCAGCCTCTCCTTGTAACTAAAACCCTCCATTACCAACAACATCCTGGTAAATCTTTTCTGAACCTTCTTTTCTTGTCCCTTATCTTGGATGTTTAGCCAATTTTTATGTTCCCCAGTTATACAGTTGCCTGTATATCCCCACCATCATGGCCACTTTCCAGTCAC